TAGAGAAGGGGTCCCAGTGGGAACTGGGTATTTATTGTCTGCAGAGTGCGCCCTCTAGTGGTGGACCCAGAAACCCACTGTTCTGCTCCTGCCCGGGTAGTAGGGTGGGTGTAGCTGCAAGGTGTGATGAGCAAGTGTGGGTTCTAACAGGGTACCTTCTCCGTGGTGATGTTAATGTCGTTGGGTGGCAGATGACTGAGCAGTGAGGGTGACAGAGGCCGAAGGAGCGCTGCTTGCTGTGGAGTTGCTCCTGCCTCTGCACAGAGGAACGGCGGAGGCTGCCAGGGATGGGTGGAACACTCATTTCTGCACAGCATCTTTCAGTGGGTGCTTCACGTCCTGTCTGCGAGGCCGCTGCCTCTGGCTCTCCACCCCCCGAAGTTGAAGCCAACCCCTGCCTTCTCCCCTCCCCTGGATAGGAGAGCCTCCCCAGTGTCTGCACATCTCCATTTCTGGCCAATAGAGAAAGAAGCCTCCCTCCCCCCCAAAAAAATCTTTTTCTCTGTCTTACCTTGGGGCTCCCTGTCCCCCCCGTGGGGCGGGGGGAGGGGCGATACAAAATAGATTTACTTTGAAAAAAAAAAATTTATCATTTAATGGATCCAAAACAAAAAAGAAAAAAAAAGTACAACATACACACTAAAAAAAAATCAAAAATCCCCTCCCCAAATATTTTTTTTCCTGGACACAAATTGCTTTGTTTCCTATCACATTTTAATATCAATATTAACACAATGTGTAGTCTAAAACTAGTTCCTTTGTAGTTTGCATGGGATGTGAATGCTGTCTCAGCGTGCCCAGATAGAAGACTGCATGAGCATCAGTTCAGATGTGGAAACAAGTCTCTCTCTCTTCCATATATCTCTCTATTTCTATTGTGATAATTCGGTGGGCAGTACAGCACCTCCGGTTGGTTACGTAGTGTGTTGAATGATTGTTTTCCTCTTCTCTATTTTCGGAGCTCCGAGCTTCTTAGTCGTAGCCTGGGCTGAGTCTTCTGAGTCCCTGCTGATGTTTTCGCATGGCCTTGGTTGAGTGTTAGAAGTTGGGCCTCAGCTGTTTTTCTCGAGTGTTTGGCTTGTATTGACCGGTGCATGCCTGGCTTCTGGCCTCATACCCAGCTCTATTCTCTGCACACCAGTCCTGAATAGCTACAGTGCTCAACCGAATTTTGGCGCGCCCGCTTCCCCGGCAGGCTCCAACCCGGCGCGGCCCGGAGGCTTCCCGGGGGCCAACAGCCCAGGACCGGTCGCCGATCTCTACGGCCCTGCCAGCCAGGACTCCGGAGTGGGGAATTACATAAGCGCGGCCAGCCCTCAGCCGGGCTCCGGCTTCGGCCACGGCATTGCTGTAAGTACCTGCCTCCCCGGCCCTCCTGCCTCCCACTTCCTGCCCCACTCCTTGGGGCCCTTGGGGAGGCTGTGCCAGCAAAACCCAGAATCGGGGCCGGGGGTGGGGGCAAGGACCGCGAGCCCCCTCCCGCGTCATGCCAGCTGCGAGGGCTGAAGCCGCTCCGTCTGGAGCACCTCCTGTGTGGTCGTGATGGAGCGGAAGGAGCAAGGGCAGTTCAGGTTCACGTCACCACTCCATCCCCTCCGGTCCGGGCGGCCTGGAGCCACTTACATAACCTTTGCCCAGCTGCAGAATGCCTTCCTCAAAGGAGTGGGTGAGAATTCAGGGGAGCCGTCCGTGCCACCTGCCGGCGCGTAGGAGGTCCACAGGAGGCCGCAGTTCCTGATGCCCACTTTCTAAAGATGGTCACATGGGCTGGGAAGTGCCACCGCCCCACCACAAGGCAGCAGCCCCCGTCCCGTGGCAGCCCCGGTGCCCGGGAGGTGTTGTGGGGTGCGTGCCCCCTCCCAGGTGGTCCCCTCTGCTAATGTTTCTTACAGTGCCCAGGTTCCAAATAAGTTCCCACTCAGTTCTTTAGCTGCGCCCCCTGCAGGCCAGATGCATTGGACATTTGTAATGCTCTGTGGTTCTATAATCTGACTAATCCAGGCAATGGAGATTTGCTTAACAGATTTGCATGCTGTTTTCAGATTGTATTGTTCCTCTCCTCCCAGTGTGTGTGAGCATGAACATGCCTGAGCCCACTCGCTCGCTGCCCCTTCCGTTTTGGAAACAGAAAACCAGCTAGCCTCTGCCCTGGCCAGCCACACCGTTTTGGAGGCAGCTTGGTGTTGAGCTGAGATGGGAGTGTTTGCCGCCCGTGGTCACATCTCCCTGGGACTCCATTTTGGGGAGGCAGAGATGAGCCCTGCCCTGGGGAGAACAAAGCATGTGCAGACTTCTGGGACGCCAGGGTGGCCCTACTCGTGCCCCCTGGCGTCGGAAGCCCCGTACACACAGCCTTGTTGGTGTTGATGCACACACACACACACACACACACGCGCGCTCTTGAGTGCAATGCTGCCAGCACTGGCCTCTACAGTCTGGGTCCTCGTTCAGTGCCACCCGCAAGCCAAGATGACTCGAGTTCGATGAGTCTGATCCCACCGACCCACTGCCGTCCCCAGTCCAGAATGCGTTGGTTCAGCAGAGAGCTACATCACCTTAGGACACAATTAATTGCCATTTTCAGAGTCCAGAAACACAGAGTCCAGAAACATTAGCTCTCGAAAACCTGGGTCTTCTGACTTGTGTGCCACAGTGTACGCCCTGGTTTGTCTGCACTTGGATTTCTTCTCCCCAGCCTGAGCCATTGAGACCGTGGACAGAGACCCTTATCTTTGCCCTCAGGGCAACCGTGCCCCTCATTTTTGGGCACGAGCCCCCCTTTCCCACCACGTACCCATACACTCCTCCGAGTCTGGCTCTTGGTTTCCCTGGAGAAGCAGGCAGGCTGGGGGGAGGGGAGGGGGTGGGGCTGGAAGGTGGGGGCTGAGGGGATGTACCGCCCCCAGCCCCCGGTGGCACCCGCAGGGTCTCAGAGCTGCATATTCATGCTGGCAACCACAGACTAGCCCTCCAGATCATTTCCTCTCCCAGAAAATGACAATCTGTTCCCATGGATAGCACACTGATGACCTTAACAATTGTGCAATTTTAGGGACCTTTGATTGCAACGGCCTTTACAAATGGATACCATTGAGCAGGTGCTTTCGTTGCCATCCCGCCCTGAGGTATTACCGTCTCTGCCATGTGTGTCCGCCCTGCCGGCCTGTCCGTACATGTATGTGCCCTGGTCATACATGGACGCGCATGCCCCTGTCTCGCCACATCGACATTCCCTCTCTCCTCTCTCTGGCCTTCTGCGCGGGGTGAAGGGGTGGGGGCCAAAACAAATCCAGTCTTTTCATTTCTCACCCCTTCCTCCGGCTTTTAATCATGATCCCCCACCATTCTCACTGCCCCCACTCTCTTTTTATTTTTCTCTCATGATTGGGTTCTTTTGATTCCTTTTCTGTATCTCGCATATCCCTCATCTTTCTGTCTTGAAATGCAATCAAAAGCGTGGGAAACTGGAAGGAGATCTTGCGTGCCTGGCGGCAGATACTGGCTTTTGGTCACGACATGCACCCACCTGCGGGTCACTGGGCCACCTCAGCAGCCCGGAGCTCACTGGCAGCTCAGTCAATGGGGTGCAAGCAAACAGCCAGATGCCATCTTTTAGTGAAAAGAAAACATTTTTGCCAGTAACCACTGAGTGATTATCCAGATTACGGCACAAGAAGCAAATTAAATTAGCGACATCACCTGCATAGCATGGATTTGGATCCCTGCCAGTTTCCTAACCTTTCAACTGAGCTCAAGTTCATGAAACCTTTTTGAAATCATTTTAACGGGGATGTGGCGGTGGGGATGACGGGAGGGGGGAGGTCGGAGGAGACTAGAGGCCGGGGCAGTAGGGGAGCAAGCCTGTCGCCATATTCTTGTTGGAAAATGAGCGTCTGTCTTTCCGGGGGAGGACGGCAGGAGAGGAGGGGCTGTGCTCGCGAGAGCCTGGGTGTGCACTGTGGTTGCACAGTCATCCGGGAGGCTGGACGAAGGCCTGTCTCTTTGGAAGCGAGAGAGTAACCGTGAGGCCTGGAATGGGTGCCCCTTGGACAGTCTCCCACTGGGTCAGGAGAGCCTTCTATCCTTGGAGTTGAGACCTAGGAGAAGTCAGCCAGGCCAGACGCCAATCAGCCACTTTGGGTTTGTAGAAGGGGATTGCTCCCAGCCCTGGGCCAGCCAGGATTCTGTAGGGTGTGGCCCCTGGGGGCGGGGGCGCCCAGGTTGAGTTGAGCTCCACAAATCTTGAGTTTCTCTAATGGTGCTGCTAAGGAATCACCTCCACTAACGCAACCGCCTCTCCTAACCAAATAAACCATGTGCGTGACCCCTCCCAGCCTCGCCTCACCTCTCTTGGAGCGCTGACCCAGCCATGGCTGGCCAGAGCCAGAGGCCACTAACAGTGTGAAGGAGAGCTACTCGCTACTAATGAAGCTGGGCGTTGGGGCCCAGGGATGGCCAGGGTCCTCAGAGTGGGGACAAGATCGCCGGGATCTTGGAGACTGACGATGGCTCCAGCCGCTCACGGGGGCAGATGCAGAGGAGGTTAAGTAGTGACTGGGCATAGCAGCTGCTCTGCGGACCCGTGGCTCCGCCCTCCCCTGGGAAAGGGAGGCAGGGCGGGGCTCCCAGCCCACCATCCCCAGGCCTCTACCGCCTTCCCTTCCCCAGGACTCAGTTTCCAGAGAAGGAAGAAGCAGGCAAAAGAGTAGCCCAGGGAGTGGAGTGGCCGTGCAGTTAAGACAGGTCCAGCACACATTCTGTGACCTGACCTTTAGAGCCAATCACTATAAGAGATGCCCAGACCCAAGGTCAGTTTGGGGAGGCTCAGTTAGTGAGTCTTGCCTCCAGGGCCCCTTTTTGTTTCCTATAACCAAAACTGGTTACTTGCTGTGTATTTTGTTTTTTTTGTGTCCTGACTTTCCCTCCTTGCTATATGATTTTTTTAAAAGATTGATTGATTTGAAAGACAGAGTGACAGAAAGAGAGAGGGAGGGTCAGAAGAAATCTTCTTCCATCCACTGGTTCACTCTCCCAGATGGCTGCACCAGCCAGGTCTGGGCCAGGCTGAAGCCGGGAGGAGCCAAGAACTCCATCTGGGTCTCCTATGTGGGTGGCAGGGGCCCGAGCATTTGGATCTTCTTCCGCTGCCTTCCCAGGCCAGGGAGCAGGAAGCCGGATCTAAAGCAGAGCAGCCAGGATTGAAGCCACCCCTCTGGTAGGGGACTCTGGTGGGGGGAGCAGCAGCTTAACCTGCTGCACCACAACACCAGCCCCTATAATATGATTTTTTTTAGTACAAACTGTTAATCACTAGCATTCATTGATTGGTACTTGGTAAAGGCAGAGGCTTTTTTTTTTTTTTTTGGAAAGCATGTAGGTCTGGAAACAGAAGTTCAACAGAAAACCACCTGTGGTCAGGGTGCACATTGGCCCCTCTGCCCAAAACCCCAGCGCGGCCGCATCTGCCTCCCAACCTCAAGAGTTCTGCAGCCCTAGGACAGGATCAGTAGGATGTGCCTAGAGCAGCCTTCTCCCCGGCCTCGGGTGGGCACTGTTAGAGGGCCAGTCTCCCAGGCTGGGATCTCAGGAAGTTGGGCTAGCCCCGCCCTGTTCACAGGTCCTCCCCAGCCTGGCCTAGCCTTTTTCGAAAGCTCTAGCTAAGGCGCCGTCATCAGCCGTGCACCTGCCTGACCTTCTCTCTCCTCCCACCCCTACTTTCTGTTCTCTTCCTGCCACACCTGACCTTGCCTGCCCTGCAGAGCATACCTGGATGTCCAGGCAAGACTGGGCGAAGTTTCTGAGTGGTCCTTTGTTTAGGTGATGCCCTCGGACCTGGAACCCCACCAGCCTCACTCCTCATCCCAACCAGAGATGGCTCACTTCGGACGGAGGGTTGGCTACATCTCATCATCTCACGATTCTGCTGTAATATAAGACAACAGCTTTTAAATGTGTATATAACCCATGATTTTGGTTTTGTTCTGTTTTGTTTTTCTTGATGGTTTCCCATTCCCTCCTCTCTCCCCCCAACCCCTCCTTTTAAATCTCTCTGAATCACGTTTGGTAGTGATTTTGACTTAGTGTAGGGGTCACATAGCTTTAATATCTAGTTAAAAGCTAACCATAGTACAGCTGTTATATTAAGGAGTTTTTTTTTTTCTTTCAAAAGATTCTTTTGGGGCTTGTTTTGATTCTGTTCTCACTTTTAAAGGATGCTGAGATGGTAATATTACTCTCAATGTTTTGGTACCGGTTCGGAGACTCTGAAATGTCAGGTAGAACCTGGCACACACTGAAGCGACGTTGTGGCGTGGGGAGCAGGAGGCGGGCCTGCGCCTTCTCCTGTGCGCTGTAGAAGTGAGCTGTAATAGGCTGATGACCAGACTGTAGCATTTCCTTTGTGTGATGTCTCTTTGTTAACCTGAGTATATCTATTTTCGGCAATAAGGTAAGGACGACAATGTTTTGGAGTGTCCTCCTTTTCTATAAGTGCTTTTTTTTTTCCTGTTGAAAGAGGTGATATTATAAGGTTTTTTGCAATTGTGAATTCTAAAAGAGAAAATGTTGTAAATACAATTCCATTAACTACATAGAAACTATAAAGAAAGAGAGAATCAAAAATATTTTTGTGAGGGCGTCGGTCCCAGGCAGTTTGGTGCTCCGTGGAAGGAGGAGGGGAGGGGAGCTGGACGAAGTGGGTGACGGAGCCGGGAGCAGCCAGCTGCCGGGCAGCCCCAGGAACCGCGAGAACACTGCTGAGCGCCTTGTCTGCGTGAGAGGCCTGTATTAGGATCCTACCAGCCTGTTAACCTCTCGTCTGTGCACAGCTTCAAATGTTACTGTCTAGTTAGATTTTTATTTAAAATATGAAAAACTGCTTTTCCCAAGACGTTTTTTAAAAAAAAAAAAACAAAGCTACAATTTTAATATTTAACATATTTAAAGTTTCAAAGCACACCTGTTTGGCTTGGGTGGAGGGGGTGGGGGGGCCTTCTTTTTCAGTCTTAATTTTTAAAGATTTGATCATTTTCTATTGTCCGATCATTTCAGCGCCTCCAAAGGTCTTTAGGACACTCTGCCTGTCTTCACCGCGCCCCCCCCCACCTCGCCCCCCAACCCCACTCTGGGGGCCGTGGGTCATACCACCCTTTCTCCATCCACTTTCTATTTACAAATTAGGAAAGCAACCTTTGGGTTTATATATTTTTTTTAATACCTCAGTGCTGCAAGTATCACCAGAGAGGCTATGAAAGAAAAAATTTTTTTTAATTTATTATAGATGTAAACAGAATTTTAAAAATAAAAAGTATAAACATCACTGCACTGTGACTGGTGGGAAAAATGGACAGTTTCCTGTTTGCACATGCTTGACATTTGGCTGTTATAATATATGGTCCTCGGTCGGGGAAAGATACTTCTGATGAAGGATATTTTTTAATTTAACTTTTTTTTAAATGTTGGTAATAGGTCGGCAACAGCAACTATAGAAGTACAACTCAATAGATGGCATTAAAACATATTGTAGTGTGGATATATATTTTTTTCTTTTTTAAAATGTGATATTGACGTTTTATTAATATTTTTTAAATTGTTACGTTTATAAATTTGGTACTTAAGGCACAGCCAGTATGAGACACTGAATGCGACATTTATTATAAAGAGCTGCTGCACTCCTATTTTTATAAATTTTACTAACAAAGTAGACTAATGTAGACATTCGCAGACACAGTAGGGCAGACACGTCTTCAGATGACGAACTGCAAAATGCTAACTCAGAAAGGAAGAAGAAAAGCCTTTTTTAATTCTACTTAAATAGCAACAACATAAAAAAAATCATGTCCTTTGTTTTCATGTCAGGTTGTTTGGTGACAGTTTTGGGTTTCTTTGGGATTTTCTTTCTTTATTTCTTTTTTCTTTCTTTCTTTCTTTCTTTTTTTTTTTTAATTTCCAAACAACCAGATTAAATAAAATGCTGAACGCTTTTAAAATCTCAAAACTTGTTCAAGTGATAAAATAACAGAAGTTTTATTAAAAAAGAAAAAAAGAACAAAAAGAGACAGTAAATCCCCAGGAACGCGATCTAGCCTCGGGGATGGACGGCTCTTGGGTCCGCGTTCGTGTCTAGTGACTCCCCTTCCTCTGCATCCCTCACAGCCTCCTAGAAGACTCTGTTGATCATTGTCTATTAGTAATGTCTGCAGTGGCTGTCTTGTAAGCGTGCTGTCCTGGTACTAGTGCAGTGACTTTTTTTCTCCTCTTTCTTCTAGTACATATTGATAGGTATAATGTAATTAAGGTTTAAAAAAATTAGACATAGTTACTCAGATTTAGGACCAGTAAGGATAGAACTTTCTCTTATTTATGGAAAAAAAAATTGCTAATAATTTTGGGGCAGTTGTTTCCTTTAATTCTTTTTTTTTTTTTTCAATTTCAAGTTTAAGTTTATTTTCGCTGATCTGATGTGGTTTCAACTAACCCAAGGTCTCACCACATTCAAATGCCGGCCGACTCTGCGGCGTTTTGTAGATCCCCACCCCCCTTCTCTGCAAAGGGGCGTGCCATACTACCTTAAATGCTAATGCTAGATATGCAAAACTGGATTTTTTTAATTTATTTTTTAAAAGAGGGAGGCATGGTATATTAAAATGATTTTACTAAGAGAAAAAAAATATTTTTTTAAGAATGCTCAGAAGAAATTGATAATCTGTGTGAATATGTTTTAGATGTTTATATACCTTTTGAAGAGACCCAGTAGCCCATAGCACAAATCTTGTGGAAATCTGACATGTTTCAATGTGGCTACCTAGGTCAAGGTTCACGTGAGTCCCCCCACCCCCTCATCTAGAAGTCCATTTTGAAACATTTTTGTAAATTCTTTTAGCACTGATGTTCAGCCTTGTCTTTGTTTCGGTTGAGCTCAATGGCACTCTTGGGCACCACCTTTCGCCTTCTTCCCTGGGGGAGGAACGCTCCCGGCTGATGGCTTTTCCTGGAATTACCAAGGAGCCACCAGGGGTCTCTCTGGCTTCCAGATCCGTCTGCCTGAGACCCCTGACCTCCTGTCCTGAGCAGAGCCAGTGGCATTGGCTCCCGGGCCCATTCCTGGTTCTTCCAGTCCTCGGGGCTGGCGGAGGGGACCAAGCCGCCCGCCTCCTCGCCCAGAGCCCTCGCAGACTGGGTTTGTGGCCTTCCTCGTGCACCGGGTAGGAAAACCCAACAGCCTCGCGCTCTAGCCTGGGCGCCCGTTGGCTTGATTCAGACGAAGCCCCCACAGGCCTTTGCGTTTTTATCCTTCATAGCCATCATCTTAATTTGAACTCGTAGCTTGGACTTTAAGGTAGCATGGCTCTGCTGCTGTGGCTCGTTTCACTGCGCAGCGCTTCACAGCCAGTGAGTGTTGCACACATCTTGCTAGACTAGTAGAAAAATCATTGGGTAATTGTTGCTTCTAATGACCTGAAAGGTGTTCGGTTTTCGTTTTTTGCTTTTGTTTTGTTTTGTTTTGCTTTGTTTTTGTTTTGTTTCTTGAGTTTCTGATTTTTTTTTTTTTTTGGAGGGGGGTTTCTTTTTCATTTGGGGATTTTGGAAAAAAATAAAAAGAGATTATTTTTGGTTCCAAATAGAAAAACAAAACCTATTTTGATCTTTAGTGCAAACGAGGGCTAGGGACTTAGCCTCCACCACCACACTGCTTCATTCTGCCATTCACTCACTGCAGCAGATTCAAGAATAAAGCAATATGGTTTACTACATTTTTTATCAAAGGTCAGCCATGCTTTCTGTATTATATTGCATATGAAGTTGTTTACAAAAGAGACACTAACTCATGCTTCTCTTTATCAGTTGGAAGTGGCACACAGGAACAGAGGGGGACTGGGGGGGTGGGGGAGGGGAGATTTTTTTCTCGAATGTGCTTCACCAGCCAGGCCATCTTCCAAGGAAAGCACCAGCCAGGGGGGCGGCAGGCAGAGAAGAGGGCCAGGCTGCAGGCGAGCGCATGCAAGAGAGACACTGGCGAGTTCCCTACCCTCACCCCAAAGCAGAAGTCAGCTTCGCCCAGTCCTGGGCACAGACACTACACAAGGACATGCTGGAAGTTAAGCAATACTTTAATACTGTAATATGTTCGTTTTCTTTTTTCTTTCTTTCTTTGTTTTTCACCAAAAAAAAAAAAAAAAAAGAGGTAAACTAAAGTACAAAAGCATATATTTTAAATAAAATACCAAACCCACCCCTCTCGGGGAGCGCCCTTGATCCACCCCCTCGGCTCTCAGATCATCAGAATGTGTGTCTCAGACAGGAAGGACCTTCGTTTCCAGGAGCCAGGGGCACGAGGGGAGAGGGGAACGGGGACCGAGAGACGAAGGCTCCGGAGCCTGCGCGGGGCTCCTACTACTGTATTCTGTACATACTGTACCATCCCGTGTGGAAGCTGTGAGCGGCCTCTCAGTACTGTGGCTAGCCGATCTGCCTTTCACGGTGTGTTGTAAACTCGGAATTCCATATGTAATAGGATGCAAGTCTAAGCGTTTCATGTGGACATCAATGTATCTCAATAAAACTTTCCCTAGCACTGTGGCTGACCTCACCCATACTTTTATACTTTAGTATGAAACTGATGAGAACTTTGGTAGTGAGTATTTTTTTTATATATATACATATATATGTATCTATCTATATATATATCTCAAGCATCTTTCAGGTCTTTGTGTGTGGCTTTCTTAAAGCCCTGTTGTAAAAAATTACTATGTGGATGGCAGTCTCTCACATCACAGATGTGGAAAGTATAATTTTATATTTGTATTTTCAAATAAATAAGTTTGTGAAAGGTTTCCATCCTCTACTGTGGTCCAGAAATCAATGTGTTTGTCTGACAAAAAAAAAATAAATAAAATAAACTGTTTTGAACAGAGTTGTTGGGTGTTCTTTCACTCAAGGAGGAAGAGGAGGGCTGGAGTGGGGGCTGGGTCACACCTACCTCCCCTCCCACTCAGGATGAACCCTTGGTCAAGGGCCTTCTATGGGACCAGCGTCGCAGCTCACTAGGCTAATCCTCCACCTGCCGCGCCGGTACCCCAGTTCTAGTCCCAGTTGGGGCACTGGATTCTGTCCCGGTTGCTCCTCTTCCAGTCCAGCTCTCTGCTGTGGCCCGGGAGTGCAGTGGAGGATGGCCCAAGTGCTTGGGCCCTGCACCCGCATGGGAGACCAGGGGGAAGCGCCTGGTTCCTGGCTTCGGATCAGCACAGTGCACCAGCTGTAGCGGCCATTTGGGGGGTGAACCAACAGAAGGAAGACCTTTCTCTCTGTCTCTCTCTCTCTCACTGTCTAACTCTCTGCCTGTCAAAAAAAAAGGGGGGGCCTTCTATGGAACCTAATGTGTGCAGGGACAAGAGAGGACTGGACGGGGGAGCCGGCCAGAGAGTTGGGGGTGCTCAGAACCCATGGGTAGGCCACACACACATCACAGGTTGGCAGATGAAACCAAATATAGGAAGAGTGTGGAAAGAGCTGTCAATGAAAATGATAGGAGGCCATTGTTTGGGATGAAGCTTCTTCCTGCTGGGCCCCAGCAAACCAGACTAAAAATCAAAATGGCGTCACTGGTGCCAAAGTTCCACAGCACCGGAACGGAAGGCAAACCTTGCACAAGACAGAAGGTGGTAAACAGCCACACTGCCCAGACAGGATGGTTCTCGCTTCACCCTCACACCCAAAACGTAACCCAGAATGTCAACTAAGCAATCATTTTTCTCTTGTTCTGTCTCCCTGGTCCCATCTTACAAGGAAAATGGCTTTGAAATAACCGATTGGTTTTTGTTCTTTGTCTCTGCTATTTTTTTTTAAAGCTCTCTGTCTATAAAACCAACATCTTCTGTTCAAGATTGTTCACAGGGGTGGGGAACATCTGGCCCACAGCCTGTGGAAGACTCACAGAATCCTTAGGTCTGACCCTCCAAGGCAACCACAGGCAGGACTCACAACTCAATAAATCTGTAGCAGGCTTAATTTTTTTAAGTTGAGAATTTTGTGTGGCCCACAATGATGTTATAAATGACCAAATGGCCGGCGCCGCGGCTCACTAGGCTAATCCTCCGCCTAGCGGCGCCGGCACACCGGGTTCTAGTCCCGGTCGGGGCGCCGGATTCTGTCCCGGTTGCCCCTCTTCCAGGCCAGCTCTCTGCTGTGGCCAGGGAGTGCAGTGGAGGATGGCCCAGGTGCTTGGGCCCTGCACCCCATGGGAGACTAGGAAAAGCACCTGGCTCCTGGCTCCTGCCATCAGATCAGCGCGGTGTGCCGGCCGCAGCGGCCATTGAAGGGTGAACCAACGGCAAAGGAAGACCTTTCTCTCTGTCTCTCTCTCTCACTGTCCACTCTGCCTGTCAAAAAATAAAAAATAAAAAATAAAAAAATAAATGACCAAATGGCCCTTGCAGAGAAAAAGTTCCCCACCCCTGATCGGAACCGTTATTCTATTTTATGGAATGAAGTGTTGCCCAATTCTAGAATGAAAAATAAAGCCGGTGATGTATAATAAATTGCTGTGATGTTGTGCTTTGCTGGAGCTAAGAGGCGCTCCCGGCTGGGGGCCTCAGCTGGTTACCAGCAGCATGAGGGAGAAGGCACCAGACTAAAGGTGTTGACTCTGGAGGAGGGGTCTGGAAAGGTGTTAGGAAGCCTGGCCTCTGCTCTCAAGGAGTGCAAAGCTTTGCCTGATGGAAACAATTAGAATCACAAAACTCAAGATGCAGAGAGAGATCATGTACAATACTTCCCACGTTCGACCAAACAATTGTGAGAAAATGAACACGGAGTCTACTCGGCAGACCTGGGAGTAAGAGCAGAGGTGTGAGCTGAGCCACGTCTCTGTAGCTCTTTCTCCTGGGCCCCAGGAAGAACCTAGAGCCTGGGACTTGGCTTTGTTGGGTCCTTGCTCCAGCTTCCAGTTCCTGCTCATAACGACTTTATCTTAGGGGTGTTCAGGTGCCCTCTTTCACTGAGGCGGGGACAGAAGAGGCCCCAGGGTGCCCACAGGCAAAGCAGCAGCACTCCACGGTGTCTCCTTTGCAAAACTCCAAGCCTGCAAAGTAAAAAGGACCCCATGTGGGGTCTTAGGAATTGCAGTTCTAGGGACTGAGGGTCAGATTGCTCTGAGTCAGTGTTTTGAGGCCTGGAAAGGTGGGAGCATGAGTGGGCTATTGGATGGTCTTTGCTGTTGTTAAAGATTTATGTATTTATTTATTTGAGAGGCAGAGTTACAGACAAAGATAGGGAGAGACAGAGAGAAAGGTCTCCCATCCACTGGTTCACTCCCCAAATGGCCGCAATGCCTGGAGCTGGGCCGATCAGGAGCCAGGAGCTTCTGGGTCTCCCATGTGGGTGCAGGGGCCTAAGCTCTTGGGCCATCTTCAGCTGCTTTCCCAGGCCATTAGCAGAGAGCTGGATTGGAAGTAGAGCAGCGAGGACTTGAACCAGTGCCTGTATGGGATGCCAGCACTGCAGGTGGAGGCTTAACCTGCTACGCCACAGCGCCGGTCCCATTGGCTATTGAATATTGAGAAGGAATAGATGCTGGGTGACCCGTAAGCATAAAGGAAAGAATGTACAAGCAGAATGGAAATTTCCATACGAGACTGCTAATTGGTGATGTACATCTTGAGCCTCTGGGACAGTATAATCTTTCAGGTCCTTCCAGGTGCCTGCAGGCCAAGGGTAGGGGTGGCAGAGTTCACATTCCAGGCCGCCCTGAAGTCAGGCCCGAGCCCTGCTGCCTGACGGTCTGCTTTCAACGTGCCCTTCGTTCTGATTTTAACACTCCTTACAGTGTTGGAGAACAAGGCAGGAGAGTGGGATCCCAGCTGCTCCACGGAAGTCAAAGACCATGGGAGCTGATCTGAGAAATCTCTTCTGGGCCCGTGGTCCAGGGATGGGGAGGAGGCCCCCTGGGCCATCCTCTTCCTCCTGATTGCTCTCAAGGAAGGGGAGGCCCAGCCCCTGGCCAGGAGCCTGAGGAGAGAGACCGCAGGGAGCAGGAGCACCCACCGTGTGCCCACACGTGGTGCGGTTAGTCCTGCAGGTATCTACCTGTTAATACTCACAGGGTAGGCAACGTGCCTACGGCCGCACAAAACAGTCTCATCTTCAGGACATCTTTCTCCTGGGGGTCCAGTCTGCCGACAAATATCACCAGTGACCAGTGTGCCTGAGGGTGGGGACTTGGGGGTGAAGCCTCTCAGTGCAGTGCCCGCTGGAACCAACGAAGTGAGCCCCGAAAAGAATATTAATCCAGAGAAAAACTCCAGTGTTCTAGTGTTTCATGGAGACACCCTAAGACACAGAAAGTAAATCAGCAAAGCCAGGAAGAGAAGTTAAACAGCAGTGTAAGATAAACATGCAAAGTAGGATGGGAGGAGGGAGTTCAAGCCAATCCGCCTTTATGTAAATATCAATGGATTTCGTTTTCTACCATTACATAATAGACAGGTGTATGTGTTTAGAGAAATACAAAACCTGCTTATGTGCTGTGTACAGAAACACAGAGTCACAAGGCTGGAAATAAAGGGGTGACAAAGAGAAAATAGGCAAAGATAAACAAAAGGGGCAAGAATTGAGGAGGAATTTAAGGTTAAAAGCACTCAACAGGATGTTATATCGTGACAAAAGACACAGGCTATTAAGGAGACCCAGTGGCAACAAACACTATGCCTCAGTCACTACAGGAACTGAAGATTTAGAAGCCTGTAAAAATGCAAAGAGAACTTGATGAAAAATACCAATATAACCATAGAGACATTAATGTACCTCTCTCTGAGCCAGGTATACTTAACAAACAAAAATACAGACAGAATTGTATGATATAATTGGTAGAACAAACCTCCTGCCTCCATATAGTCTTTGTATGGAGAATGGACTTCTTATCAGTGTATAGTTAGTGATTTTGGGAACATACACAAAAATCAAATTTTGGAGTGTTACACTGTACTCTGGTCAGCACTTGGTGTTGTTAGGCTGTTGTTCTGATGCATGTGTGGTTTTAATTTGTATTTCTCTAATGAGTAATTTTTTTTATTTTTTTATTATTTTTTTTTTTGACAGGTAGAGTGGACAGTGAGAGAGAGAGACAGAGAGAAAGGTCTTCCTTTGCCGTTGGTTCACCCTTCAATGGCTGGCGCGCTGCAGCTGGCGCACTGATCTGATGGCAGGAGCCAGGAGCCAGGTGCTTTTCCTAGTCTCCCATGGGGTGCAGGGCCCAAGCACCTGGGCCATCCTCCACTGCACTCCCGGGCCACAGCAGAGAGCTGGCCTGGAAGAGGGGCAACCGGGATAGAATCCAGTGCCCTGACCAGGACTAGAACCCGGTGTGCCGGCGCCGCTAGGTGGAGGATTAGCCTAGTGAGCCGCGGCGCCGGCCTATATATTCTTCTACAAGTTCAATAGTTTTGCATTTTACATTTAGGTATGTGGTCCATTTTGAGTTAACTTTTATATATAATGTGAAGTATAAATTGAGATTCATTTATTCCACATATTGAAATCCAACTGTTCCAGAACTATTTGTTGAAAGGAATATCACTTATCTATTGAATTGAATTGCCTGTCAAAGATCAACTGACCACATTCGTGTAGGTCTTGTAACCTCTGTCCTGTTCTGCTTATCTGTATGTCTTTGTTGTATTTATATAGTATTAGAATCAGGTGCACTTACTCCATCAAGTTTGGTCTTCTATTTCATTGTTGTTTGGCTGCTGTAGTTCCTTTGTTTTCCATGTAAATTATGGAATGATTTTACTGATTTTTATAAGAAAATCTGGCTAGGATTTTGATTATGATTGTGTCAAATCTATAGGTCAAATTTTTTTTTTTTTTTGACAGGCAGAGTGGACAGTGAGAGAGAGAGAGACAGAGAGAAAGGTC